AATTCACAACCAATATAAATGAAACTTGATTCTAGAACTCGTGTGTTTCTTGGTTACTCACCAACACCAAAAAAGGGTTCAAATATATTCATTATCAAACAAGGATATTTTATGCTAATATGGATGCCAATTTAAATACAAATCAAACATATTTGTCATATACCTACTTTAAAGAAGAGAACTTATGTGAATATATGGATCCTCAGTATGTCTTAACTATATAGCTCTTTACCACTATTGAAACTTTTGTTCCAACATATGAGCCTACTAACATGTGTTGTTCCTCAATCATTATATCTCCCATTTAAAGATTCGGATATTCAAAGTTCTGCATCTCCAGTTAATGACTTAACATCTAGAAAAGGCTAAAAAAAAAAAAACTCTATCATTAGCCAAACATATGCTCAATCATTGGAATCGAAATCACGTAATACCAATTCTACTTCATTGATTCAATTGAACTACATTTATAGCTTTGTTCTAATCTTGGAAAAGGAAAAAGAACGTGCACTCAGTATTCAATTTCAATTTTGTCTAATCATAGACCAATGTCTCCCATTAGTACTTCTATATCTCAACTGTACACCTATATAGATTCCTAAAACCGTGAGAGGAAACCCTTAAAAATACAAACTTAGAAACGAAACTAGGAAGGATATTTTATAGCAAAAATATAAAGTCGAAATGATCTTTATAGAAAAATAAAGTGGACGTTTGGCAAAGCTTAAAATATAATTTAAGCTAATTAAACACACTTTTTATCCATATTTTCTACGACCTACAACTACTACTCACTTTTTAACCATGTATTCTGTAGAATTCACAACTTATAATCACTTATATCTACCCCCAAGCATGCTTAAAGTTTGATTGGTATGATAATCATGGTTTAAAAAATAACCGATTGAGGCGAGCTGGCTCGACATTGAAGCCACTTTTATCCAAACATTTTGAGGACCCAACAAATACTACTTACTTATCCACTATTCATTTCTATGTATTTATAATTTAAACCTTCTATAAACAGCTCACAAAATTGCTTTAAGGCAAACACCTCAAGGCATTAATTTTGATTCAATTTTTGAAGGTTGTATGTCTTAGCTGAGTGAGGCACACACCTTACAGCACTGTCTCAAGGATTGAGGCATGAGCTGCTTAATTATCCAGATGCATTTACTTAGCTTTAGGTGTGGGCCACAAAACATTAAAAATTTCTAATTGAGCCACTTTGAAAATGGTCCACTACTTCACCAACTATAGCAATACTTTCTTTTTCGTTCTTGGATAGATTTCTCATTTGTTCGTTATTATGAATTTTGAAAAGTGATTTATTTATTTTGTGCTTATTTTGCATTAAACCATTTTTTGACTTTTTGTGATTTATGGTGAGGCTTACGCCTCTGAATGCTTTGAAGCTTATGCCTCTGTACCCAATTATGTCTTTTTATACATTGGTTATGGGCGTACTCGAAACTCTTCAATAGACTATCAAGAAACTTGCAAAAATTATTTGTTGCCCTTCATCTAACTATTCATTGGACCTAATGCATGGAGAACTAAAGGAAGAAAAGTATATGGAAGTTCCCCCAGTCTTTGCAAAAAGTTAGAAAAGAAAGTCATGATCCCCCAAGGGCCTAGGGTTGCACATATAAAATGTCCGTTACAAAGTTTAAATATAGTTAATAGCAAGGCTATCTTATATTCAAGAAGTAGCATATTAAAAAAGGACCAATATTATGCCTTAAAAGAACTAAACCATTCTTGCACCAAAAGAAAAACATATGGAAGTTGCCCACTGAATCCTTAAGCATCTAAAGTCAACACCACGAAAGAGCATTTTACTTAGAAAGGGTGAAAGAGGAAGTGCCAGCATATACTTCTAATGCACATTTGTTGCTGGGTAATCTTATCGAGTGGAGCAACACATAATTCAAGGTGGCCAAATCAAAGTGTCAAACCAAAATTTTAATCAATGGCTCAAGGATTACATGAAATTCAGGGAATAAAGCTCTCAAACGTGGGAATAAAGTTAGAAGCCATATTGCGACAAAATATCTACTAGAAGAATTATATACGATCCTGTCCATCATAGTTTAACTAAACACATTGAGATTGACTTACATTTTATTAAAGGAGAGAGAGAAAATGGAAAAATTGGCATTCCTTATATGGGTAGATGGAACCACTTGTAGATATCCATACTAAAGGTTATCCAGCTCCTTTTCGCAGTTCAATATAAGCACGTTGAGAATGGATATCATTTTCGAGTGAGCTCCAGAGAAGTCTTAAAATTTCCTATATGAATTAAATTGTCTTAGGAAATTTCATTCTTTGACATTTATCTTTCCTTTTATGTATTTCACCCTCAAATTGTAATGATTCTATAGATGTGTAGACTGCGACTGACCCTATAATGAACCCTGGAAAGAATTAGTAGAACATGCCCAAAAGAATAACAAGTCCTAGAATAGATTAATAGTTGTATGATAATCCTACGTAATGTCATTAGTTTGAAATTAACTCCTGTTACACCAAGTGTAATATGTGGGTAGCCTATTATATCTAAGAAATTTTTTCTAAGTACCAGATACATAATAGAATATAGAAAGGTTGTTGCTTTCCCATATGCACAAAGAATGGATGATGCTTTTGTATCCTCATGATTCTCAAATGATGAAAATAAAATGTAGAAACCAATGGCAACAGCTTAGCAGACTAAATGATTTCTAATAAATTGGCACTGGTATCGATTGAGAAACAAACCCCTTAATATGGGATTGTTTTTGTGTTTCAAGAAAGGGCAGAAACGCCAAAGAAACCCAGTCTCACCTGTTTCAAAGAAGAGTGGGGCCCCACATGCCTTTCCTTGGATTGGGCAACAGTGAGAAGTACAAGTGATTCTAATGTTCTGCTGATTCCCTAGTATAAAGACAGACAGACTTAGGAAGAAATATGGGCTTTCACAACAAATATGAGCATTCTAGAAAAGGCTTGCCACCTAAGAAAGCACTGGAAAATGGTAGAGATCCTCTTATCTCTGTAAACGAATTAGACCAATTCTTAAACAGGGAAACCATTATCAACTTATTCTCCTGTAATTACATATCCTGTCTCCACCTAAGAAAGCACATTTAAATTCTAAAACGGGGAAAATCTTATCACACGTTTTTTTCCTGCCATTGTCAATAGTCTCCATATCATATTCACTACTAACTGCAGCTCGATAGGTAAGTTTCCTTCTGTAACATGTAAATTCTTGAACTGAATTAGATGAATGTCAAGTCAATTAGAAGTCAAAGAACTTTCTGGTTCGTTTAAAAATAAAAAATGTTGATCTCCATAAACTCCAGAAAATCTATATATCATAAATCTTTATCTAACTAGAGCTAGAGTAACAACTTCTTTAAGCACGCTCAATTTCACACTATTACTGTTTCTCCACTTTCCTCTTTAAGCTTAGAGTAATGCTGCTCATTTCTTTTTTATTCTGCCAGAGAAATTGCAATTGGATCTTGTTTTCTCCCATCTTATGGTAAAAGGCATCCCCAAAACCAGCATTGAAGGTCACAAGTTTTTGGCTAGCATTTCTTAGGCCAAGGGCTTACACTTGACTGGCAATGACACAACCAGAGAGAAGGAATATGTGATTTTGATGAACCATCTGATCAGTTACAAGCAACAAACAACAGGGAAAGAACAAGATTTATACTTTTTTTTTTATTTTTTTATTTTTTCATATTTGAATCTCTATCGCAAACAACCTCAAAGAACAATTTCGTGTCACTGAATATTACGTTGTTTTTCACTAAAATGAAGACTAGCAGTAAAGGGAAAAAACTCCGTCCATCAAATCAAATTTATAGTTTTCCATATAAAACACTTTCTCAAATAGAAGTACATATTGTAAATTTTATTCTTTTATAGTTCTTTTCTCTATATAACATAGAAAACCCTCCAAGAAAGCCCAGTTTAACACAAAATCACCCTATGACATATATCTGGGATGGAGGAAGCAAAAAGATAGGAATAAGACATTCAACTTCACAAATTTTAGCCACTAGGACCAAATAAATTCACAAGTAGCAAAAACATTGTTATAGGGATTACAGGACTTAAATGTAGCCGTTTTTATAACAGATGGGAAGTATGTTCCATCCAATGTTTAAAAAACTAGATTGGGTATTAAAACTTTTGTCTAAGTGAGGCGAGGCACGAGCCTCAATACAAAGAAATAGAAAAATATAAATTACACTCATAATAAACCATAAATTATCTGGAAAATCCCTAATAAAAATTCCATTCAGATTAAAAATCTAATATGCTACAAGAAACATAAAATGGATCGACAATATAACAAATAGTAAATTAACAAAATATTACAATCTAATGACAAGACACTAACTGAACTCAGACTAAAAATGTAAACAAATGAAACAAGAGAGCAGCCATTTAATGTCTTGCATGCTTTAATTTGAAAGATTTGAATAGAAAAACATAGGACAACAGCAAGAAAAGTATAATAGGAAGAGAAAAAGAGTGAAGTTATCTATCACAAGTCTACTATAAAAACTGCAGCTTCACTTTGGAGAGGCGGATCACAGCCCGGCTGTAGAAGTAGAAGGCTAAGTCAAACACATGGATTTCACTTGTCTCTTCTACGATATCTGATTTTTTTATATTTTAGATTTTACAGTAAGATTGTGTTACACAAATGACCCAAAGAAATCTTTAATACGTTCTGAGCTATGAAAAATCAGTCAAAAACTTGAGAATGATAAAAGAACAGCCCAAAAAGTGCAAGACCAACGAGTGCACACCTCTGCAGCTCTAAGGCTAAAGCTTTGAGCTCGTGATAAACATCTCACATAAGGTGTTTCTCGAGGCATAAGCATTGAGCACTTTTAAAACTTCGATCCACATATTGACAATAAATGAGCATAATATTTAAAGAAGCAGATTAAGCATGCCAGATACATAAGCTAACGATATTAGAGATGGGAAACAGAAAGCTTTAGCTCATGTTATTATCTTATGGAATCGAAAGGTCAAATTTTAAGCCATAAAAACTGAAAGTTGTAACAAAAAAAAAAAAAGAGTTTGAGGAAGCAAACCACAAACAGGTGAGCCGGAAGATGTATAACATTCATGAAGGAGACTGTGGACAATTTCAACCTTCACAGAGCTCAATGTCAAAACAGAGATGAGTTGGCAATTACACGATTGCTTTTCAAAGACCGAGTTCTAGACTTCCAACACTGGGACATCAGTCATCATGCTTCTGTTAATGACACTTTAACTACTGAGAAAACCAATCATATATAAACGAGAGAGTCTTTCCACAAATCTTTAAAAAATTCAGCTGCACAATCCTAACAGCATCAAAAGTATGCATCATCTGCTTCTTCCAATTCTTCATCTTCACTATACAATAAATAATCCCCCTCCTTCCCATCATCATATATAATGGAATTCACATTATCCTGTTTATCCAATCTCGCTCCTATCCAGTCATCATCTTCCTCATAGCCCTCCTCGACTTCTGAAAAGGATGAGATCCTCACATCATCCAACTCCATTCTCCCAACAAGCTCATCCAAATTCTCCTCTGCTAACCCCCCATCAAACTCACTAACTGAAAAGCTTCTACCCCTTCTCCCATCAAACTCCCTCCTTATTTTGCTCTTCAATTCCAAATCATTCTCCTTAATTTCCCCATTCTCCACCCTAATCCATGGCACCCATATATCAGCATGCCTCCCTAATGATCTATCCTGATCTCCCACAACCACCGTCCCCAAATTTGCTTCTCTCGCCTTCCTCAACATCTCCGAGAAATCCGAGTCATCCGACACCAATACCATCCAATTGACACTCCTACTCATGGAATGCTGCATTTGCCTCTTTAAAGCCCAATCCGCAGCCTGGGGCTTATCCTCCACCGTCTTGACATACACCCCAGCACGTCTCAGCTCCTGGGCCAGACCATAACCGACCTTTGGGGTCAACAAACGCCGTGCTGTCTCATTGTACTTCTCATTCCCATTTATAAATCTCTCCTTATAACGCTGCCGTTTCTTGCCCTTCAAACTTCTCATTCTGTTCAGCTTCTTTTGCCTCTCCCTTTCGTGTAATTGTCGAAAATGCTTCTTCAAATCAAAGTTGGTCTTGCATTTCCTCCCGCACACCGAGCAAATATACGGTTCAGTAGGCGTAGACAACCCCTTCCGCTCCAAAAAATCCATCTGGCGGCGTTCCCGGCGTTCCTCAAGGACCCACTGGGGGAGGTGGATAAAGGCGTGATGATTTGCATAGGCTGAGATATCAGTAACTTCACCAAATTTCTGGGCCACCCCTTTCAGGGCCAGGGCAGCCTGATACGGCGGACCGCGCGGCGGCTTGTTGTCCAAATCCCATAGCACCACCACTTTCTTGGGCTTTGCAGTATAAATCCCTTCCTTGGTTTTCACCATGTCGATTTCCCTTTCCGCCTTACAGGCCTTGATAGGGGTCCACTGACAACATTTGACATTGTACAATGAAGATTTTGATGAAAATAAAATTATGGGGTTGATTACGAAAGGAGGTCTCAGAGAGGAGGGTTTAAGTTTCGGGGGAGAAGGGCAAATTTTGGGAGGGAGTGGTTCAATGGAGTTGAAAAGAGAATTGAGGATCATCGTTTTATAGGATTTGGGGGATAGAAGAGAGGGAAATGCTCTTCCATTTTATTTACTCCTGTCGTTTGGCCTTTTTATCTTCAACCTGTTATCGAATGAACGGTACTGCATAGTGCACGGTCTGTATACCATAAAGAGTATATACATTGCATGTAAGTTCTTGAATTGATCTGAAAATATATTTTTTTATCTAGATTTTTTTTATTTTTCTAATGGCGTGGCCACGGTGACATTGTCCCTTCACATGAAAATCACTTAACTTTTTGTCTAAAATAAAGGAGAATGAACTTATGCTAATTTTTAAAGACTTCTTAAAAAATTAGAAGAGGATTCTCTTCAACATCTATTCCAACCCAAGCATGACCGTCGCCACTCTTGCCTCAACCATCCTACAGTCCCCTAGCACAATCTTCGAAACTAAAATCTAATTTATTGCACCATTTGAGCATGTTCATTACAACATATGTTTTATCTCCTTATCAGAGGGGCTTCCTACATCCTAGATTATTGTTGTGTTAATGTCCCCCTACCCTCAATCATTCACAATGGATATTTTTGCTTCAAGGAGGAGACAATTGGGAAGGACATATGCTATGGTTTTGCCCAACAAATTTACCTAATCCCTCTAAAAAATTCATCTCCAAATGTTTTAGCATCAATTGTAGTTTCACCAGAAACCTTTGTTTTTTTGTTTTTTTTTTCTTTTTTCAATTGAAATATCATATTATGATTCCAAACGTCCAATCAAACACAGAAAACACATCAAGTACATGGATAAGAAGACATGACAACAATATAAAAGATAATAGAATTGCGGGTCAAAAAAGAATTGTAATCTCATAATTCTCCCATTAAAAAAAGTCAAAGACACTAACATTGACAAAATTATAACCACTAGTTACACATGTCAATGGAGATCAGGGTCCCAAAAAAATCTCTTGAGAATCCAACCATAGAGACCCATCAAGAGCACATTCCTAAAGAAGCTCGAATAGAGTGATTACTCATCCCTCGAGCGGGCATACTTGATAGAATGGATGACACGCATCGTCAGAAGAAAGTAGTTTTAAAGAATGTTGATAACACAAAGAGTTGCTTAATAGATAGAGCTCTGTCCTAAGCAACAAGTAGGAACATTCAACATATTTCAGATTTGGTTGAAGTGGAACCCAAGCCATTCCCAAGCAAAGGAGAATGGCTTACCTAAGCTTGGAAGAGATAGGATAAAACTACTAATTGAGGAAGCAGGTCAAGGACTTAACTAAAGGGTGAGAGGTCAAGTAATAAAACACCACTTACTTTGCCATTAGAATAATTGAGTATCAATATCCCATATTCTTCATCTGTTGAAGATCGAGATGAATGTTGGGACAATTGATCCAACTACTAAAATTTAGTGATAGTGACTAGTGTCGAATCGAAAGTGGGACGCTATACAGTGCAAAATAATTTTATTGAGTCATAAAGGACAACTTCAAAGCTCTCTAGAGCAAATAGCAAGTCAAGAATGAGGCCTTAAGCTGGTAACATCAACTTGTTCACAATATACAAACCCTTAATATTTTTAGTTTACTAGTTAAAAAAAAGTACACTAAATTCTTATATTTGTGTTGAGTCATGAAAAAAAGTATTTCATTAGTAAAAATGAGAACTTAAGGACGAAGATGAAATTGAATGGTTACACACGTATTTCGACATAGCTTCAGTAGTGAATATTCAATGAAATGAACTCTTAGAACTGTTGATCTTAGGGCCTACTTTGTCAAATTATTTTATTAGTATTTAAGCATTTTTAATTAACTCCTAAATCAAGAGTGGGTTTAAGGCCCCCCTGGTGGAGTGGGCGGTGGGCCAAAACAAATTACATAACTCAGCAAGTCAAGATTTGATTAGGTCTAGATTTAGGTTTAGGAGGTCAATTTATGATAATTCATTGAGTCTATTGGATAGCTTCGTTATCGGAGGAGACAATACATAATTGAGAAGAGCTACATTTATTGGGAAAATTTGCAGACTGGTTTAAAGGTTTAAAAGTGGTGAAATTTCATTGAATTTTGGATAAAAAATAAAGTTAAACCAACCAATCAAATTCTGTCACATCTGCACCTGTAAACCAATGAGCAACTTTCCCTGGACAAGTAGCATTTTTGTACATAATTTACATATAACCATGGCAACATTTTTAATATTTGCTGGAACAAATGAGTACAAATCTATGTGAGATGAGTAAAGTAGATTGATTGGTGCCATTGCTCAGGGTATCCACATATTTTATCGGACTCACAACTTTTATCCATTTTTAATCACATTCTCTAAAAAATAATTTTTTACTTGAAAAAATCTATCTCAAACAAACAAACTTTAAGTGGATAATATATCATGTTATCCGCTCTTGTCATGAAGGTATTAAGTGTTGTATGAATTCTAATCAACATATAGGATTTGATCATTTGATGGAATTTCAAGTTCCATGATCCTCAGCTATGCGCACAAGTCCTTGAATAGCCTGTGGAAAAGAAGCCAATGCCATGTACATAATTTCTTGACACATGATCAGAATTTTTTTTTATCAATATCATTTTATGACAAAAAATCTTGCACAATATTTTGCCTATAGTACAAGGTTGTTGGGAACAAAACAATATATACTATGAGTATTCCCTACATCTTCCTTTCCTCGTTGTATTGCTATCAGCAACGTAGATGACAATAAGTAACATTAATTAATGTCATAAATAACATTACTCTTTTCCCCAGGGATCAAATCAAAATGTCGTCAAATTAACATTAATTAATGTCATAAATAACATTACTCTTTTCCTCAGGGATCAAATCAAAATGTTGTCAAATTACTTTTGTATCATATTGTAATCAAATTGCTGTTTAAAAAATATACAAATTCTACTTCATGCTTTCTACACATATGGGAAAAACCCAATGGAACTCCACAAGCACCATAATAAACGAGAAATCACATAATTCATGAAGCAAAACCATTATATAAATTGCACCTCATTCCCCACATTTTGAGCTGATTATCATAGTACATTTAACTGCCGTCGACAAAAAACCACTATCTCTCCTTTCGATAAAAGCATGTTTCTTCTTTGTTTCCTTTTAACCCTGTCTTCTTCTTTCTAGCAGCCCCATCTGCCTTTTGTTAATGTCTCTCACATTGTCCAAACGAAATCCTATGAAAGATTTAGATCCGAAATTTAAAAAAAAAAAAAAAAAAAGGAATCATTCGGGATCCATTTTGTAGGATTTTTGAAAAGTCAAAAACTACTTTTGAAATGAAGAAATTATTTTTGAACATATTTTGATAATTTTCTGAAATATTTTTGTGTGGCTAGAAAAAAAACTTTTAAAGTAAGTTGGGTATAAGGTAATTTCGTTGGAAATCTCTTCTACAAAAAATAGAAGTACTAACAAACAAGCCCTAAATCCTTTACAAAGCTTTGTATGTCTCTAGAAGGGTTTATCAATGCCTGCCTGCCCTCCTCTCTCTTTTGAAAATATTCAATAAGAAATTAACCAACTAATGCGTTTCTTAATGAAAACAGTGGGAGTCGGTTTTGTATATATTATATTTATTAAGGAGAATGAAGGGTCAATAAAGAAAGGAGTTAATGCCATCTCTTTCTTTCAAAGAAATATGCCACTTTTGCATTTGTAATACTTGTCAACAATTTCTCTCTCTTTCTGGTATCTGTTGCTGCCTTTCTTTAGCCTGTCCTAGTCCATGCCCGCCCTTATATATTCATTTGATCATTTCACCTTCTTTATCCAAAGTAAAAGTAGAGTAGAAAATCAAGAGGGGAGATTTATATTTTTAAAGATCAGCATGACTGGATGGTTAAATGTAATTCTGGTGGTGGCTGGTTCTGGAATTCTTGCTGTTCTATTAGTCTTGATCATCAAGCGATTCTGTTGTAAATCGAAAAGGCGTAAAGATTCTGTACTGGTAAATGGGGATAGAGCTGAGAATTTGCAGAATGGAATAGCCAGGCTTCATCAAGCGAGTCTTCATCATGTCGATGGAGATGGAGGCAAGAAAACAAATAATTATGTTTTTCGACGTGGAATATCATCAGGGAAGCCATTTTTTAGTTGGGCTGATTATCCTTCCCTTGTTACTGATGCTGTTGAGAATGGATGGTCAAGATTTGCATTCACGACCTTCACGTCATCTCCCTCCGTTAAATCTGCCAAGTCCCTTTTAGGCGTGTGCGCAACTGGTGACCATGGAAATGAAATTGCTGTAGAAATCGGTTGGGAAATTTGTGAAGGATCAGCAGATTTCATGCAGAAAATTAGACTGAATCCCGGGTTGGAGAAACTTAACAATTCAAACATGAATTCTTCAACGGGAGCTATCTCTCTTATTAGAACAGCTTTACCTTTGCCAGGTCCACATTTGGGAAATTCGTCTTTCCCTCAAGAATCCTATTTTGAGATCACAATTTTGTCTTCTACAGAAAATAGTCTTAATCTCGCAGACGATAAATCCGAAGACGAGAAAATGAAGCTTATTCACGAGGATTTTAACGCGAAAATTATTCCGGATTCACAAGTTACTAGCAATCGTAGTCAGCACAAGAACAGAAATGAAGAACACAAGATTGCTGTAAAAGAAGATGGCAAAAATGAAGGAATTTTGCTATCAGTTGGGCTAACAGGTGGAGGCCCTCTTCCTCTAAAAGTTCCAGGCAGCTATCCAGGATCAATTGGTTTCAACTCCACTGGTTCTGTCTATCTTGATGGTAAGTTTTGATTTTTTTGTCATTTTTATCCATAATAACAAGCATTTAAGAGTCAAAATATGCACTTAATGTTCTTAGAATCAGTGGGCATTTTGTGTAGACGAAAAACAGTCAACGCCCCGCTGTTCCTTCCACCGCAAATAGGCATATACTAACTATTCACAGAAAGCAACATTTTACTTTTCAAATTGTTGAATAGGAATGCATCATCTATTTAGCATCATCTCTTTATGAGAAATGAGATGGTCCACTATGGCCACCATCCAGATTATTACCAAATTAATAATTATAAAATAATAAAAGTTGACATAGCATTATTTTCTATGACCTGA